TCAAACCATACTGCTTCCTACAAAATAAAAAAAAATATATGTACAATTTCTGAAAAAACAGGCTTGAAAACCCAAACCTACCAAATGCCCACATCATCAATAATCACACAGCCTCCTCATAAATGCTTTTCATTCACTGAATTATCTCTGAACATTTACTTCTTTAGGCTCTCTAAAAGCCTCCTTAGCTCTCGTTTTTATAAATTTTTTTTTAATTGAGGGGAAAGTGCAACTGTTAAAAAGCCTTTTTATTTTGACTTAACGACAAAATTGTGCCTCTTGTTTAGTCTTCCACACTGAGTATCCGATCCACACATTTCTGCTCCCTTTGACATAAGAAAAGCAATACTGCTTTGCAAAGCAATGGTCAAATTCTTTCTAGTGCCTTCTCTCATAGTTTAAGAATGTACTGTGACCTAGACTAAGAAACAACTTCAGGTATAGATTCCTGAAAAAGATTTCTGATGGATTTTTCTAACTTTCTGCTGAAGCTACTGACTTTTCTGCTCGCATGCAGACACACACACACACACACACACACACACACAGAGAGAGAGTGTGTAAATTTCCTTTGCAGGACTCCATACAGGCCTCCTCTTGACCAGTATATGAAGTTCCCTCAGCATTGCCCCATCTCACATTTTCTTGCTTCCCGATGCATTCTTCTTCATGAAGCTGGCCTCCTCACTCGCTTCCTCCTGTGCACACTCACAAAGAAGCTTGAAGCTGCTCATTTCCACTTCAGTATTTCCTCCCCAACAGGAAATGTCCTCTTTCCTTCCCTCTAGCAATTCAAACATATTTCCTACAAGACTTTCCTTCTCAAACTCCCTCCCTGCTGTAATTGCTCCCTAGCTAGCTAGTGAAATGCTAGCTTCCTGTGTCAGTTTGCTAAGAATGATGTTCTCCAAATTCATCCATGTCCCTACAAAGGACACAAACTCATCCTTTTTGAAACTGACACAAGAACAGAAAATGAAATACCGCATATTCTCGCTCATAGGCGGGTGATGAAAAAAGAGAACACATGGACACAGGGAAGGGAGTACTACACACTGGGGTCTACTGAGGGGAATAGGGGAGGGACAGCGGGGGGGGGCGGGGAAGGGGGGAGGGATAGCCTGGGGAGAAATGCCAAATGTGGGTGAAGGGGAAGACGGCAGCAAAACACACTGCCAAGTGTGTACCTATGCAACTATCTTGCATGATCTGCACATGTACCCCAAAACCTAAAATGCAATTTAAAAAAAAAAAAAAGAAAAAATAAATGCTAGCTTCCTGGGCATGCCACTTTCTTGATACATTTCTCCTTGCTCCACATTCCTCTCAGTTCATTATTCTGTCTCCTCCTCTGCCTCCTCTTAAATGGAAATTCCTGCCTATCCTTGCCTCCGCATTCTTCTTTTCTTCCTCTATACACTGTCTCTAGGCAATTCCTTCAAAACTCTCAAATCATAGTTACCTCTGCATTAGTGATGCCTCTAACTACAGACACCTCCCTGAGCTTCCCACATGCCTGCCAGACAACTCCTCAGAAAAGTACTGCTCAAACTCCTACTCAAGGTGGCCAAAATAAGAGTAGTAAACTAGTTTCAGTACATATTCAACTGCTTCCCTGAGTTCTCCATCTTGGTAATGGACTTACTCTTTCAATTACCCAAGCTGAAACTCTTGCCTTCTATATCTTACCAGGTAATAAACCTCAATGTATCCTTCCCTTGTGATTTTAATGGCTTCCCAACTTCCTCCTGCATCCAAACACTGGTTCTTCAAGCTGACAGAGCTTGTGCAGCTTTGGCCATGGGACACACATGGATCTCAGCAAAACAGCTAGCTGGAGCTATTGTGGGACAGAGTGGAATAGGGGTAGAGCTGGGAAACTAATCTGATTGGAAAGGTTGGTCTTGAGAAGTTGGGCCACTCTGGCATGTCGCACCACAGAGACATATTCAAGCAGTCTGGGTGCATCAGTAGTCAGGTTTTAAATAACAGGGTGGCAGCATCATGATTTCACCCCATCATTCATTCACAGCAGGGTCCACATCCAGCAGCAGGAAATTGTAATAGGCTCCCACTGGTTTCCTGCCTTCTATCTCCCAGCTTCTAAAAATCTAATCTGATTCCTACACTACTATACCTCAGATTATTCAGTAGCTTTCCATTGCGCAATGACAACATATGAATCTTGACCAGGTAGAAGCAGGAAGCTGGGGAGGAGACTTTAATGGCCAGTGATTAATAAGAGAAAATTTTCTTTTCCTGTACCACAAAATTGTCAGAGTTCCAGGCAGAGGTGACATCATCTGCCTGGGTCTCAGAGTGAGGATGACATTAAACAGAGCTGTAGCGCATCCCTGTTGGCATGTGGCATGAGCAAAAAATATACTTGTATGATTGTCATCTATGATTATTTTGTGGTTGACTGTTACCATAGTGTAAACAGCCTACCCTGCCAGATATAGTGACTTTCATAAACATGTCTCAAAACTTCAGAGGAGAAGGGACTTATTTCATACTAACACAGGTGAAAGTTTGCTTACTAAGCTAAAATAGTGAATAGTGAGAGAGAAAACTTGGTGAATTGAAGACCTGGTATTAAGATTATAGAGGGGACTGTGCTTTGCTGAAACTGACTGCCTATTCCAAGTTTGCCTCCCTCTACGTAGTTTTCTTTAAAAAAAAAAAACAACAACTTCTGCATGGTTGTATTGCTTATAGATCCTCTCATCCCAATCCTTTAGTCCTATTCATAATATTACTACTCAAAAATACAGTCTATCACTTCCTCAACTTTAAATGACAAGTGATTTAATGTTTTTAATCACTAAGAATAAAAATGAACCATTGGTACTTTGGGGACTTTGTTTTCTTTGCCAAGAACTACTGTTTAATTGAAATATTAGCTCTTCAATAACTCTGACCAAATCATAACATATCTGGCACCAATGGCTAAAGATATGTTGAATTGTTAGTTCAGATCCTCATACAAAAGTGCCCGCCTCTAGTAACATCCAGTATGAGCCAATATTCCTCTTTGTTCATAGGAGCAAGGAAGAAAAACACACGCTATGGTCTGAATACTTCAAGCAACTAGCACAGTGCCCAGCACAAAGTGTGTGACCAATAAATGACAGGTTTCTTCTTGTACTCAACCCCTCACCTGCTACTTTACTGAAGAGTTATGGCTGATTAGACTTACTGTCATTTTAAGGTTTTAAAACAAGAAGGCAAGTGATTTCTCCACAACTCTGTTTTTAAAGCTGTTTTCTAGACCAGAATAATCAGATGTCCTTTATCGGGCTAGTTCCATCTTAATGGGTTTAATGACAGCAGAAGGGGGTCACTGACTTAGCAGCAAAAGAGAATAATAACATCCAATAGAGATTAATTTAATTACCTCCTCCTTCACTCCATTTCTGGGGGTCTGGCAATATCCAGCAAAGTTCAGCATATGAAATTTCTTATTCTTCTACCCTTGAGATATCTCTGGCATGAAAATGAGGTCACTGTCTTGGTAGGAAAATGGTATCTTGCATGGTCTAAGTATTGCTTCTTCCCCTGATATAAATAAAATCAGAAGTGCCATATTAAAAGTCCTAAAGGTCTTCACCCTGGACATTAACTATCTGGCTCAGGTGCTCTAGGAAAACACGGTTACCAAAGGTCACTTCCACATTCACAAAATTGCAATTCTTAAAAACAGAGAAAAAATAATTTCCTTTTCATATGATATCAAAGTTAAGATTTCCGTTGCCATGGTGATGAGATTTTTTTCTTCTTGCAGTGCCAGCCTTTTCCTGGCAGATGAAGTCAGTACTATAATCAATAAGAAAGCAATACTTCATTTTCTGCATCCCTCTTGGAGTATGGGCTTCCAACCAAAAGCATAGCCATATGTGATGGTCCCAAAATGTCCATGGATAGAAATTTGCATACCAAATAATGCCAAACTATGCCTTTATCATGCTTTGCTGAAGTATTTGATCAAAGTTTATGTATACAACCAAAAACTCACACATGTAAAACAATCCTTAGCTCTTATTAGTTCCTTGTCAATTTGCTTCCCTACTTTCGGCCTCCTCTAATAAGTCCTTCATGTATCTAAATGGTTCCTTAGTTAAGAACCAACGTGAATTGAGAATTTCTTAGATCCTGAATTTTGGAATACAGTCAAGGGGCATAAACCAATCTCTTTAGAATGCCGTGTCTCAAATTGTCAAGTAAATTTCTGTTATAAGACACTTGGTGATACCTTATTCCATTATTGTTTAAGCTAAAATCTCTCTAGTTTTTAAAAAATCATTTGGTTATCTTCTGGTTATCTTGAAGCCCTAGAATTCTCTCTTCTTCCCCACAGAGGAACAACTTGGTAGACAGGAACAATCATTCAAAGCTTTTCCCAATAGTTGGCATTCACTCCCTGCACAATTCCACTTTAAAAACATGGTGATTTAAAGAGGGTTCATGTTTATACATGTTTACCCTTCATAGCAGGAAAGTCCTCCTCTCTGTGTAAAGGTCATCTCCTTCCAAAGAAAAGCAAATAGAATAATACGGGAGCAGATGGATATTTGCCTAACCACTAGATCAGTCAAATTAAATGCCTTGGTGACATCATAAGTAGATTTCTCTGGGACTGGGAGTACACATGCAGGTATGGGTAGTAAGAGGAAAGAGAACTAAGAGAGTCAATACTATGTGTTTGCCAAACTTGCTTCTTCCTTCTGCAGGTCACAGAGCTAAACTACATTTCCAAAGTTCCCTTGCAGATATATGGGGACATGGGACTGAGTTCCAGTCAATGGCCTGGATCCCTACCCACCCACTCCTATCTTGCACGATGCTCCATCCACTAGCTTTCTTACTTCCCTGCAGGTAGACACAGAGCTCAGCATGAACCCTCTCCAGCTCACCTCCTGTCAACCTGCATTGGGCCCAGAAATTTCATTAACAATAAATATGTCAAACCACTGAGATTTTGGCTTTTTGGGGGGAGGGAGGGGAGAAGCTGCTTTATTCTGGGCTCTGCTTATCAGGCTGGCTGGGGTGCGGGAGTGAGAAGGGGGATCTGAGGAGCAAACCAAGAAGGTTCCAGGGCAAGCCTAGGCCTCCACAGCCTGGCCATTGATGACACGGATGTGGCTGATGATGTCCTGGATGGCCTCAGATGTTATGCCCTGGCCCCCAATGTCTGGAGTGTGCATATTCTCATTGTCCATGGACACCAGGACAGCCTTACGGATGGAGGTGGCGTAGAAGTGCAGCTTGAGGTGATCCAGCATCATGCAGCTGGCCAGCAGGATGGCTGTGGGGTTGGCGATGTTCTTATTGGCGATACTCTTGCCAGTGTTCCTCGTAGCTGTTTCAAACACCGTGTACACATGGCCATAGTTGGCCCCAGCCACAAGGCCTGGGCCTCCGACCAGTCCTGAGCAGACATTGCTGACCAGGTTGCCATAGAGATTGGGCATCACCACGACATCAAATTGCTGGGGCCAGGACACCAGCTGCATGGTGGTGTTGTCCACAATCGTGTTCTTGAAAGTGATCTGGGGGTAACCAGCTGCTACCTCCCTGCAGCATTGGAGGAAGAGCCTGTTGCCCAGTTTCATGATGTTGGCCTTGTACATGGCCGTCACTTTCTTGCGCCCGCTCTTCAGCGCCAGCTTGAAAGCATATGGCAACGCGTAGGGACTTGGCCTTGGTGATGATCTTCAGGCTCTCCACCACTCCCGCCACACTCTCATGCTCCAGGCTGCTGTACTCACCCTCCGTGTTCTCCCGGACAATGAGGATGTCTATGTCCTTGTGTCGGGTCACCACACCTGGCAGGCTCTTATAGTGGATGACGTTGGCATAGAGGTCCGGGCTGGTGCGGAAGATGTTGTTTCGGGATTTGTGGGATGGTGGCAGATTACGGTTGGTGTTGATATTGCCCTTCGGGGCCACATGGTTCCGGCGGATGGCCATGATGGCTTTGCTAATGTCTTCTTCATCAAGGTTGGAACTCACGTGCACCTCTTCAAAGTCCACCCGACACAGGCGTGCCTGAAAACAGACTTCACATGCAGCATGAGCTTTGGCCCGATGCCATCACCAGGGATCACGGTCGATGTGTGCCGCCCGCCATACTTAGCTGATGGAGGAATCATTTGTTGTGAGGAGATGCTCTTCGAGGGGGGCCTCATGGGCACCTAGAACCTCCCAGGCACTTCACAGAAGGGCTGGCCGGAGCACTGCCTTCATAGCGCCGCCAGAGGCTGTTGCTACCTTCAGTGCCATGACGGAAAGTGAGACTCTCCGCATGTCCCGACACGCAGACACCGCTCTCGCGAGAATTTAAAGGTGGGCCAATTTTGGCTCTTTATTAAAGCAACTAGCATTATCCAGCCTGACTAAAACAGGAAGCTAAATGGATCCTCAAATATGATTCCTTCTGTGAGCTTAATGTACCTTAGGAAGCCAACAGTGTCCTAAACTAATCCTAATTAGTTCATATTAGGATTTTAAAGGAACTCTTGGTAGACGGACAGTGTTTATTGACCCTTTGGGCTGATGGACCAAGGAAGCAATATTCTTAATAGGATAAACCTGGAACTGGTGGCCAAAAACATAAATAAAAATCATCTGTATTCACTTCCCCAAACTCTCAATTCTTATGGAAAATATGGAACAAAATAAAACTTAACATATCACCTCTAAAAGCTGGAATCCATCCATAAATGTCATTTCAGGGTAGGATGGGAGAGGACAAGAGGAGAAAGGGCCCTCTATAATATCAAGTCTCTTTCAAATTATTCATTCATCGTTTATATGAGGAGATTATCCTACTACAACACCACTTTTCATTTTGCAAATGTGTAGTGTGCAGACTCGCCTGGTTTGATGGGAAAGGTTTCCAAGAAAATTAAATGTCAGAGCTGCTTGGCTTATTGGTTTTGTTCTCTATAAATCCCTTTTTAACTCGGCTTTGAATAATAACATTCCTCAGTGTCAATGTGACAAATTAGCTTCAATCTTAATGGTGTGTGAGAATCAAGAAAGCAGGCAAAGACTAGCTATGGTCCTCGTCTTTGCAAGGCAGCAATAAAGAATTAACTCTAAAAGACAGCCTTTAGTGGCTCTAGGAAGTAGAGATATATGAAGTATTAAGTTTTTTTTAAGAGTCTATTGATTATTTGTTCTTGTCTTTTTCTTTTTGCAGCAACTGGTGCTCTGATATGTATAAAGTTTAAATTAAGCTGGAAGGACACTATCCTGAAAGTATATGGAAACCAGGAAACCAGTCAGGTTGTCCTGTTAGATGGAAGTGGTCTTGAGTGTGATCTATCTATCTGTCTGTCTCTCTGTCTGCCTGTCTGTCTGTCTGTCTATGTCTCGCTGCAATGCTCAGGCTGGAGGGCAATGGCACAATCTCAGCTCACTGCAACCTCTGCCTCCCAGCTTCAAGCAGTTCTTCTACCTCAGTCTCCAAAGTACCTGGGATTACAGGCACCCACCACCACACCTGGCTAATTTTTGTATTTGTAGTAGAGATGAGGTTTCACTGTTGGCCAGGTTGGTCTTGAACTTCTGACCTCAAGTGATCCACTCACCTAGGCCTCTCAAAGTGCTGGGATTATAGGCATGAGTCACCATGCCTGGCCCAAGACCACTTCTTATGCTAATCAGTCAGTAACAGCCTTAGAGACTCAGGCTGAGAATTTCTCCCCACTACCTCTTGACACTACAAGAGCTCCATGTAACACTAATCTGTTAATATAACCTCTTGTTCATGGTTTCTAAACACTGAAGTTGGTAGTGGTAGGGCGATGATGAAGACTGAGTTTAGGTGTAGAAGCAATATTTAGTCAAAGATTTTGCTTTTAAAAATCCCTCCCTCTAGTTTACATATTAAAGTATAAAAGTTAAAAAATTAGTTCTACCCAGCACTTTGGGAGGCCGAGGCAGGTGGATCACAAGGTCAAGAGATCGAGACCATCCTGGTCAACATGGTGAAACCCCGTCTCTACTAAAAAATATACAAAAAATTAGCTGGGCATGGTGGTGCGTGCCTGTAATCCCAGCTACTCAGGAGGCTGAGGCAGGAGAATTGCCTGAACCCAGGAGGCGGAGGTTGCTGTGAGCCGAGATCGCGCCATTGCACTCCAGCCTGGGTAACAAGCGTGAAACTCCGTCTCAAAAAAAAAAAAAAAATTAGTTCTACATATGTGAATCATATTATTTTAGGCTCTCAGAGATAAAACATAGTCTATGTTATCTACATATGAAGGACACAAATAAGCATGTGGACTCCAAATTCTTTTCCAGTAAAATAAAATAATTTTACAACTGTGAAGGGCTAAAATTTAAATACAGTAAATTCCTTTACATTATACTATGAGAAGACAGGCCTGTAAAGGTTAACTGACTTGCTCAAGGTCTGGTTTTCTGGCTGATTTCATATGACAGAAAACACAAACACATATACATTCACACATGTGTAGGGAGGGAGAGGAGAAATGATATATACTAATATGCATCCTAAAACCCTCAGATGTCTGGAAGCAATATGATGATATTTAAAATATCATATCCTCAAAGCATGCATCATCCACCAAAATTATTCTTAAAGACTTGAAACCTAGGATTAGAAAAGCGTTTGCCAAGGTTTTATCAAAAGGAAATTTGGATTGGGAAGACTTATTTCCTCATGTGCTCTTTCCAGGGATGATGACACAAATCAACGGAGGACACGTTTCCCAGAGATTTGTCACAATATACTCTCAGACTGACATTTCTGTTTCCACTTACAAATAAACTGGGCTAAGTTTTAAACTGGGTTTGGATTCCTAAGCCTTTTCAGGATATTAAAAATTGACCCCAGCAGAGTAGTTGATGCTATGGTTTTTAAAATCAGTTTACATTATGCAGCTTTATAGGCACATTTCAGAGCTAAGACAGTAAGGAATAAATTACAAGTTGCATTTATAATAGAACAGTAGTATCAGTTCAAATGGTTTCAGGCAAGTTAAACCTTCTCCCTTCCGTACTTTGAAAGTAAGATTCAAAGGACTATAAATCGTTCTACTATAAGGACACATGCACACAAATGTTCATTGCAGCACTGTTTACAATAGCAAAGACCTGGAACCAACCCAAATGCCCATCGATGATAGACTGGACTGGGAAAATGTGGCACATACACACCATGGAATATTATGCAGCAATCAAAAACGATGAGTTTGTGTCCTTTGTAGGGACATGGGTGAATCTGGAGAACATCATTCTCAGCAAACTGACACAAGAACAGAAAATGAAATACCGCATATTCTCACTCATAGGCAGGTGATGAACAATGAGAACACATGGACACAGGGAGGGGAGCACTATACACTGGGGTCTATTGCAGGGAATAGGGGAGGGACAGTGCAGGGGGGGAACTGAGGAGGGATAGCATGGGGAGAAATGCCAGATGTGAGTGAAGGGGAGGAAGACAGCAAATCACACTGCCACATGTGTACCTATGCAACTATCTTGCATGTTCTGCATATGTACCCCAAAACCTAAAATGCAATAATAAAAAAAGAAAGATTCAAGAATGTGCCACAAATGGATCACAAATAGTAATCAATACTGTGAAGCCACCTCTAACAGTTCCTAATGAGTGAACAGTTAGTTCTGGAGAAAACAATAACACAATGAAACAAAAGAAAATGGGTTATTTACCTTGATCACCCAGCCTGAAAATAACATCAACTCCCTTTTAGAGACTGCATCCTCTGACTGCTTAGAAATGCAAGGTCCTAGCTGGGTGTGGTGGCTCATACCTGTAATCCCAGCACTTTGGGAGGCTGAGACAAGAGGATCACTTGAGGTCAGGAGTTCAAGACCAGCCTGGCCAACATGGTGAAACCTTGTCTCTACTAAAAATACAAAAATTAGCAAGCCATGCTAGCATGTTCCTGTAATCCCAGCTACTAGGGAGGCACCCACTTGAACTTGGGAGGCAGAGGTTGCAGTGAGCCTAGGTCATGCCACTGTATTCCAGCCTGGGCAACAGAGCAAAGCTCCTTCTAAGGAGAGGAGAGGGGAGAAAAGGGGAGGAAAGGGGAAGGAAAGGGAAGGGGAGGGAAAGGGAAGGGGAGGGAAGGGAGAGGTGAAGGGAGAGGTAAAAGGAAAGGGAAAGGAAAAGGGAAGGGAAAAGCGAAGGGAGAGGGAAAGGGAAAGGGAAGAGGGAAGGGAAAGGGAAGAGGAAAGGGAGAAGGAAGGGAAATGGGAAGGGGAGGGAGGGGGAAGGGAAAAGGGAAGAGAAGGGAAGGGAGTCAAGTCCCCAATTTGTTGCCAAAGGCAGCGAAGGCACCTGCTCACTCCTGGGTGCAAATTTTCTGACAGCTGGAGAAATCAATGAGCACTCACTGAAGTCCTGCTCCCTGCTCTATAGCCAGGGGTTGGCCTGCAGAATTTTTGCCTCTACAAACCTGATGGTGAACATACACAGGCAAAATATCAAGAAGCTTACCAACTCTCTCTTCAGCCTGCTCCACTGTAGACTCAGGTGGCCATAAAGAGCTGAGATTAGGCTACTAGATGGGTAAATGATGCCTAAGCATAGAGCAAGAGAAGCCTGTATGGTACTGGACATGAAACAGTTAAACAACAGCATCTTTGGAGATAGGCAGAAATGAAGGCAGGGTAAGGGGCAGAGAGAAATGCAGTAGTTAAACCAAAAGCATCAACATGTCCATTCAGTGGGGAAACAACTGTTTCTAGCACGGACCCCAATTAGAAAGTTACTTTTTCCACCAACAGTAGCTTAAAACACCTTCTCCTATTTAGTCTATTTTCAGAGCAAAGATACTTCTGGAGAATTTATGACAGAAAACAAGCTTTCTAACAAGTATGGTAATAAAGATAATATTTTAAAAGATCTTTGATGAGGTATATAGGTAAAATCTAGGATAAATTCTACACACAAGAAAGAAAAATCTTATTGTTTACCATCATGGGATCAGGAATATCATGGGAAATGATCAGCAGAAAAATCAGTCTTCCACTAAACATCCCTTTACAAATTAACTATATAATTTATGATTTAATTTATTGCAGAATATATGTGGAGGGTTTGCAAAATTTATCTATAGTACATGCAACTAAATACAATTTTTTAAATGTCAACTGTAAGTGGACTCTCCTTCTGAGCCCTCATCTGCTGTTAGAGAGCAATCTGCATTTAACTGTCTTGCTGAATTAACTAATTCCTTTTCTATATCATACTGACTGATTCTCCCAGTAAACTGGGAACTTAAGGGTTAACGGTTTCTCCCTGGGATGTCTCCACGTTGTCTGCTTTCAAGAACCAGTTTTGTCTCCATGTCTGTTTACATTCACTTCTTTTGTTAATTATATAATAGAATTTAAAATACTGCAAAATGAAAAAAAAAAATGACTGAAGGGAGTTGCCTGTATGAAAGTTGAATGATTTGAATAGACTTAATAAAGGCAAGTTTTCTTTTCTTTTTTTTTTTTTTTTTTTAGGAAGGGAGGAAAGGAGGAAGGGAGGGAGGGAGGGAGGGAAAGAAGGGAAGGAAGGAAATAAAGCAATGAGAGAGACATTGCCAAACTGGATCTAGAGGTCTACAAGTTGATTTCTTTTTTTTTTCTTTTTTTGAGAGAAGGAAAGAAAAAAAAAAGAGTGAAGGAGAGGAAGAAAGAGGAAGAAAAAGAGGGAGAGAGAACAGAAATGTTGCTTTATTCTAAAAAAAAATGGGTATTAATAATGGCCAATCAATGTTTCACTTAAACCTATGAGTAGGTGTGATGTGGTATTGACAAGAATGTATACTTTATGTATTTGAAGTGGAGAGCTCTATAAATATTTATTAAGTTTACTTGTTCCGGACCTGAGTTCAAGTCCTGGATATCCTTATTAATTTTCTGTCTCATTGAATTTAAGTCTCTATGTATCTGGGTGTTAGGATCATTAGCTCTTGTTGTTGCATTGATCCTTTTACCACTATATCTTTGTTGCTTTAAAATCTATTTTATCAGATATGAGAATTGCAACTCCTGCTTTTTATTTATTTATTTATTTTTGCTCTCCATTGGGTTGGTAAATCTTTCTCCATTCCTTTGAGTCTTTGTGTATCCTTGCATGTGAAATGGGTCTGGATGCAACATGCCGTTGGGTTTTGGCTGTGTCTTTTGATTGGGGGATTTAGTCGATTTAAATTTAGGATTACTGCCATTTGATGTTAACTGGCTGTTTTATCCATTCGTTGATGTAAATTCTTCTTTATGTTGATGCTCTTTATTTTTTGGTATATTTTTAGAAAGGCTAATACTGGTTGTTTCTTTCTATGTGTAATGCTTCTTTCAGAAGCTCTTGTAAAGCAGGCCTGGTGGTAATAAAATCTCTGAGTACTTGCTTGTTCATAAAAGATTTTATTTTTCCTTCAGTTGTGAAGCTTAGTTTGGCTGGATATGAAATTCTGGGCTGAAGGTTCTGTTCTTTGAGGATGTTGAGTATTGGCCCCCACTCTCTTCTGGCTTGTAGAGTTTCTGCTGAGAGATCTTCTGTAAGTCTGATAGGCTTGCCTTTGTGGGTAACCTGACCTTTCTCTCTGGCTGCCCTTAGTATTTTCATACTTTAAGTTCTGGGGTATATGTGCAGGTCATGCAGGATTGTTACCCAGGTATACACATGCCATGGTGGTTCACTGCATCCATCACCCTGTCACCAGCATTAGGTATTTCTCCTAATGTTATCCCTCCCCAACCCACCCACTCTCTACTCTCCCTCTCCTAGCCCTCCTCACCCCACAACAGACCCCTGTGTATGATGTTTCCCTCCCTGTGTCCATGTGTTCTCATTGTTCAACACACTTGGGCACTATTATTACACAAGAGGTATCTTTCTGGATTTCAGAAGGCTTCATCAAAAGGAGAGGTAGACTCCACCAAACTTCTAGCTGGGCCTTATGCTTCTGGGATGAAGGAAAAATGTGGTCTGCTTGCTGTAGCAGTTTTTCCAGCACACAATGGGCAAATAAAGATGTAAGCCCATGTTTAAGGTTACTAAAACATAAGAGGAAATTGTCTTATCACGAACCTTCAAACCAGCATACATAAAGACCTCAACGTGACATCGGTATACTATCACCTGATGACAGGGGGATTCCCAGGATTCCCTTCTCATGTTTTGCTAATGCTTATGTGCACCCAGTGATAAACCCATACTGGAATCTCAGGCTGCTTTCTCTAAAGGGTGATCCTCAGCAGGTTTTTAAAAAGAGCCTACTCACATTTAAACTCAGAGCAGCTCTCCAGGGAGAAATCAAACTAATGCATTTTCCTAGATCAAAGCAAAAATTCATCTTCTATATTTGAATTAGGACTGTTGGTCCTGAAGGGAAAAGTTAACCTTCCTTACCATCAATGCAGTCTGGTTAATCGATCTACCACTGGGAAAAAAGGACTCTGCTTCCATTAAAATTGGAATGAAAGCCAGCAGGTAGAAACTATTAATCTTGACACATCTGACAGATAAATGGCAGCTTGGTGGCAGATCAAGCCAGGTAGGGTGTCCCAGAGAGGCTGAAATCTACAGGGCAGACTATCAGGGAAGATCTGGGGCTTTATGGCAAAGATTACTGCCAAAAGCCCATTTTGGCTTAAAATATCTGTGACTCCATACTTTGGACAAAGAGATCTCCCTGAACATTCACATTGTGTTTCAATGTCAACCATCTTCAGATGTTCAGGGCCTAAAGCATAAAAGCTGAAGTTTAATTTTAATCACATTAAGCTATTTGGTAATAGAATTTCCCCAGCCTGGATTCAGGACTACTTTCAGGTGACTGACTAGCTGGTTAATCTCTGTTCCAATTACCAAAGTCCAGGCTTACATGATGATCATGAATAATGTCTCTTCCTCTGTTTAACTAAAATTTGTGCTTCTGAATCTAGTCTGCTGAAATCTTAATTTTTTTTGGAGAATAATCACTTTTTCTCATTCCTTGACAACCTCCTTATACGTTCCATTTAAATGTGCCTGAAAATCTCTTTGCAATGGTATTTCTTCATAAGAGGGCAATCAATCTCTGTCTAGGTCTGGGCTGTGGAAAGGGAACCCTTAGTGATAAAGTGTAAACATTAGACATAATTTTAAAACCATGCAGAGTCTGTCCTCAAAAGGCACAGAACTAAGGGAGAAAGATGTCAACTAGAGGGAAATTTCTCTCTCTCTCTCTCTCTCTCTTACTTTCCTGATGCGGAAAAGAAGTTCATGGCAGTCACGAGGAATAATGTAGCCTCTGAGTGACTGCTAGGGAAGAGGTCTCTCTTTTCCTATGATGAAGACAAATGTAGAAATCTGGAGTAATGGGGCATAGGTAAGACCACTCAGGCTCTTTTCTGGGACAGGATGACAGTTCACAGATGAGCCTCCTCTATACTTTTACTGACATGGCATTATCACCTTCCTATGCTGCCCAGCTTCCTGTGTCAGTAACAGAGCTGATGATGACTTTCAAGCATACAATTTATCTAATATGGATTATCTTTATTGAAAGACAATTGAGAAAAGGTCACCAATTCTTTAAATAATAAATCAAGCACTTTTGGGAGTGTTGTTTTTGTTTTTTTAACAAAACTGCCCAATAGTCAGTACAACATGAAAGATCAGTGAAAGCATTAATGATATATGGGTGAAAAGCTTGTTAAAAATCTGAGAGTGAAATTTGAGTTAAAAGTTGTTTGAAACTGGAATTTACTGGGAGGCCAAAGATTGAAAGAAGTAGAAGATTCTTCTTCTCAAGACGTGAGGCGTAAGTTGTCTGATAATGGTGTGTGTTTTGTGTGCATGAATGGGAATTTGTAAATGCTGAATTCTAGGCTCCAACAATCGCTATAAACAGAAGATCTAGCTGCAGATATTTATGTTTTAAAACTTAAACTATAAAGCTACTTAAACCTTTCTAACAACTCCTGGGAAGATTTTTACCTAAGTTACCATTTACGTTGTATAGAAAAAGATTCATTTAAGCACAAATTGTATATTAGGAATTAGTTTGGGAAGAGGTTTTTTTTTTGTGGATTCTCTCATATTGCAAAAGAAAAGCTATTTGACTTCTGGGGAATTGAACTAAATTCTAGTCTTTAAGACTAGAATGCTAAAAAACAAAAATATGAAGGAAATTAAAAGCACTTATTATTACAGTGATTTGTAAAAAACAATTACTGGAAATTGATTGTGACTTGAGGCCTTCCTCCAGAAAAAAAGGACTTAACTCTCAGGCCTATATTAGATTCTAATCCCAATGTCATGTACTTGTACTTATTAAAAATCATTTCAATGAAAAGTATGTCAGCAGTATGAACTTCTGGTCTGTTGGAAGTTCTTCCATTTGAAAAATGTGGGCTAGGCACAGTGGCTCATGCCTGTAATCCCAGCATTTTGGGAGGCTGAGGCAGGTGGATCACAAGTTCAGGAGTTCAAGACCAGCCTGGCCAAGATGGTGAAACCCCATCTCTTCTAAAAATATAAAAATTAGCCAGGCGTGGTGGCACGAGCCTGTAATCCCAGCTACTTGGGAGGCTGAAACAGAGAACTGCTTAAATCTGGGAGGCAAAGGTTGTAGTGAGCCAAGATTACGCCACTATACTCCACCCTGGGAGATAGAGTGAGACTTTGTCTCAAAAAAATAATAATAATAAAATAAATAAAAAAGAAAAGAAAAACAAAAATGTGGTATTTCCATGCAACTGTTCGAATTTTATTTTCTAGTCTCTCTCCCTCACACTAGATAGAATTGAAGCTAGAATTTTCCCTTTTGATAAAAGAACAAAAAAGAACATGTTCTTTATAAATTGATGTTTAGTAACTAGTGATAAACTTGATATACTAGAAATTATGATAAGCCTTAATCCAAGGGAGTCTTATGAAAATGAATCTCTTAACTATCTTTTGAATCTATATTAAAAATAGTTTTCAAGATATTTTAAGTTGTATATATTTCTCTTTTTTTCAAAGCTGCTTCTTATATTGAGGCTACTTTTTGAAATTAAGGTATAATTCACAAGGGGCTGCATTTTTTTTTTTTTTTTTTTGGTAAGGCTTGTAAGTATGGCTAGATGTTTTGTTCTAGTCTTCCAAGAAGGGAGATTTTATTTTTTAGAGTCACTTCTAAAGTCATGTGGTCATTAACTTTGGAGACCATTCTTCATATGAGTGCTGATACAAATGAAAACCCAAGTAGACCACATTGCATGCTACCTCATGAATGTTGACAATGGAAGAAATACCTTGCCTGTGATATACCTTCACTTCTGGACTGAAAAGCTGAGGAAGAAACTTAATTTTCTTTTTTTTCAGAAGTCAAAAAAAAAAAAAAACAACTTAGCAGCTAGTGTTTTCTAGTTGACTTCAGCAGATGAAGTGAACAGATACTGTTAATGCAGATTGAAGAAATTATCTGAATCTCAGTTTGTGTAGATTTACAATCTACATGCAGTATTTGTGTACATAGCTTTTCCTCCCACCCTCTTCCATATCCGTTAGTTACTAAACTTTCTGAACTGGCATTGAAATATTACAATGTTTTGTTTCACGAATTTTATAAACTTAGTGCAACACATGCTATTTTTTATGAGGCAAACGAAAGGTAAGTTTCTCAAGGTTCTTGCTGCCTTCTAGAGCAGCATTTGATGGAGGATCTCATCTTTTGTTTACATTGGTGTGGTAGTCTGTTTGCATGCTGCTGATAAAGACATATCCAAGACTGGGCAATTTATGAAAGAAAGAGGTTTAATGGACTTACAGTTCCACATGGCTGGGGAGGCCTCACAATCATGGAGGAAGGCAAGAAGGAACAAGTAACATCTTACATGGATGGCAGCAGGCAAAGAGAGAGCTTGTGCAGGGAATCTCCCCCTTCTAAAACCATCAGATCTCATGAGACTTATTCACTATCACAAGAATAGCATAGAAAAGACCCACTTCCATGATTTGATTAGCTCCTACTGGCTCCCTCCCCCACAATACATGGAAATTCAAGATAATATTTGGGTGGTAACACAGCCAAACCATATCAATTGGTAATAGATAAAAATAAGTCTGACTGCAAGTCCTTTTTAAAAATCTTAAACCATGTACCAAGTTTCTGATCCAAATTGCATACTATAAGTTAAACTTAAGTTACATTCTATTATTAAATATGAGTGTATTTCTGTAAGCATAGTTATGTTGAAATAAAGTTTTAAAAAGCTTAAAAAAAAAAAAAACCCTGCCCAATAGCACCAAGCAACATCCTTTACTTCACACAAGATGTATATAGCACAACCATAATGAAAGTAATTTAAAAAATACATTTCAGGGCTTCATTTTCTTTCCTTTATTAGCCAAATGGCACCTACCATGTCATTATTCTCAAATTCTACTAGATCCTCATTTGTTAATAGCTACTTATGTGATTCAAAGCAGTTCTGCAACAGAATTTCTAATGACTTCATAAATATTTGCCTTGTAAAGAGTAAACATTTAATAATTTCTATGATGACAAGCAGGAAAATGTGATGTTTAACAACAGGACTCTGGAACCAGATTGTCCAGGGTCCATTCTTTGTTCTAATATTTGTAAGCTATGTGCCCTTGAAAAAATTACTGAACTCTCTCTGATTCAGTTTCCTCATCCACAAAAAGAAAACACAAGAACAATTACATCTCATAAGGTTGCTGTGAGGGTTAAATGCAAAAACCTTAGAGCAGCGTCT